AATATCTGTTTTATTTCTGTACAGTGACTTACCAGGTTCATAGACTAGAAGATAAAATTTTAAAGAGGTTAATTTTCCCCAAATTGATCTATAGGTTGAATGCAGTTCCAATTAAAATCCTGGCAGAGTCTGTGTGTGTGTGTGTGTGTGTGTGTGTGTGTGTGTGTGTGGAAATTAACATGTTTTAAAACTTATATGGGAATGTAAAGGGGCCAAGAAGAGCCACATCAATCTGGAAGAACTACAAAGCTGGAAGACTTACACTCTAGCTATCTTTTTTACAGAACTACGGTAATTAAAACTGTGATATTCACAAGGATAGAGAAACAGATTGGTCACCTGGTTTATGACACAGGGAAGGATAGTCATCAATAAATACTGTAAGACCAATTCGATATCCATATAGAGGAAAAAGCAAAAAACAAAAACCTTTGATCTTCACACATACACAAAATTCATTTCCAGTTGGATGGCAGAATTACATGTTCATTAAATGATACCACAGAGTTATAAAGCAAGTGTAGTAGGTAGTATATAATGCCATTCGCAATCACCTAATTTTTAAAAAAACATGGTCTTTATTCAAATGGCTGCTAGTAGTTGCGCTTTATTTCTTAACAGGAAGAATTGTAGAAGTTACAAATTGAAAATTAGAAACTGGAAGCTCAAATTAGCAACCCAGTAAGAACCAACTCATTGATTTATGATTACTAAATTTGGATTATTATAGAAATTCTAGTGATATGAAAAGAAAATGAGAACATATTTAATTTTCTAATGTTTATTTGTGAGAGAGACAGAGTACGCGCAGGGTAGAGGCAAAGAGAGAGAGGGAGATACAGAATCTGAAGCCGGCTCCAGGCTTTCAGCTGTCAGCACAGAGCCCAACGTGGGGCTCGAACTCATGAACTGTGTGCGATCATGACCTGAACCGAAGTTGGACACTTAACCAACTGAGCCACCCAGGTGCCCCTGAGAACATATTTTATCAAGCAGGGTTTGATTATCATGTTTAGATTCTTTTTTTTTTTTTTTAAATTTTAAATGAAGTGTACACAAGTCATTTTAAGCTGAAACTTCAAGGAATGGCAAGTGACCCATAGTTTCCAGCCTGTGAATAAGGACAGTGACTGTTTTCTTTCTAGCCCAGCGTCCCTGGTCTCAGTTCAGGCTTGCAGGAGTGGTGAGTGGGCAGGCTTGATGCTGAACCTCTTAGTGTATCTCCCTGTAATAAAGTGGCTAGAAAACTGAAAGTACATTTCCCTGATTTCCTTGCAGTTAGAATTCTGGATGTGGTTTAGTTTTGGAAAAGCAGATGTATCCATAGAAGGCAGAAGTGAGATGATGAAAGTGATTTTCTGAGGCAGTGTCGACAGAGATTCCAGTGTCTGGACACAAGGTTCATTAAGTGGCAACAGGAATTGTAAAACATCTAACTTGGTGTGAACTGTAGCAGACATAACAAAATACTGTGAAGAATTAGCAGTAGTGTGCCTTCCTGATCATGGCACTCTCCTGGTTCTTGCCATGTTGGTATACTTTGGGATTGAGTGGTTTTTTTGAACTCAGAAGAGAAGGAGCTCTCTTGGCTGACCTGATTCCACATTGTGGCATGCCTCTGTCAGTTCTCAAGAGTTCCATGCTCATGTCTCCTTAAACTAATTAGAATTAACTGTTCTTTGCACTTTATAGGACCTTACAGAGCCAAACAATTGTATACTAACAATACAGCAAGCAGCATGAGCTTCACATTCCTGTCAGTTCTCCTATGCTCCCCCCAAAAATACAGAGTGGCCCAGGGGGTGCTGAGCACGCAGTGGGTTTGCATTACAGCTGAGGAATCTGAAGTTTAGGGTATTTGAATCTTTTTTAAGGAGTACAAAAAAATATTCCAACTTTTGCTCGGGAGGGAGACATTACCTTTTATTATACTGGGCTGTAAACAACCTGCTTTTCTCTTGACAGAGACATGATATTGTCCAAGGCTGTTCACTATACAAATATCTTTGGTAAAGATAGTCCAGAACTAAGGCTGTCAGAGCCACTGGTCACAAGATGTAGAGAAATGCAAGGGACTTACAGAAAATTGCTTCCCAACAGACATTAGCCGACTTTTCATTTCAACTGTAACAACTTGTTTTAAAGCCCAAACGATATTTTCTTTTAAAAACTCACTTTAATCTAGGCATGGAATTTAACAAACATTGGTATACAGTCAGGGACTAATTTATAACATGGTTTCTATTCATTTCAGCCATGAGAAAACACCAGTCATTATTAAAGGTATCCATCCATAAATTACTTTTATTTCTCATTAAATGAGCACAGAGTCATTAGCATATTAATAACAGATATGTTTATTATTACATATCCATCAGTGCGGCTTTCAATACCACTTGAAACATGCATATCATCCTAGAGACGAATCAGTTTTCCAGTGCTTCTTATTTGATACACATTACTGCAAAGCCATTATAAATTATTGAGGAGGTATTTGGTTAAAAAAATAAACAATAAATCATACTGCCCATATGAATCAACTCTTGTATAGGACAAGAGTTTAACAGTATTTATCTGGTAATTCCTATGTTAACTGGAAAACATCACAGATGTATTGTCATAATTTTATATTGATATAACCTACATAGTTTGCAGAATTTTATAAAGTCATTCATTATTGTAGCAGGTAGTTTAATGCAAAGATTGTACTCAATTTATGAAAGTCCAACAAACCTCTAAATATTTTAAATTAAACCAATTATCAATGAAAAACCCACTGACATATAATTTTTTGAAAATATGTTCTTTTGAAATTTCTATATTTAGTCATGGCAGTAAAATAATTCTTTCAAATTAAGGCACTAAAAGGGCAATGCAACTCCCATTGAAAGTGTTCTAAGAATAATTTACATTTCAAACAGTGCATACATTTCTTATATGTTTGTTAACTTAATGTCTTTATCACTTAAAACCACAAAGAAATACATTATACAATTACAGAAATGATGTACCCCACAAAATGCTTTTAAAACTTGGTTCTTTTGTACAGTTAGTTCCTAATGTCTCTAGTAGTAAAATAACTCAATATGGCTTGGCAAAAATGCATAGATTAAATGTAAAAAAAAAAACATTTTTTCGCCTTCTCCCATTCCTCAATCTATAAACGTGCTGAAACACATACAGTATTTTGTAAAGCATAATGTAAAATATTTATTCTCCGTAAGTCCATCATGGGCAATCAAAAGTGAGGCTTTTAAATTCTACAGTGAGGGCACTGAAGTCAAGTGATGTCACTGCTTTCTTAAAATAGTTTTGTATAGTCTTGCAAGAGCACAAAGACTGAAGTCATTTAAAAGAATTTCAGTTGTCTCATTTTGAGATATTTTCTTTACTCCTTCCATGAGCTGATCTTCATAGTGATTGGCCATTCCACTTGAAAGTGAAAGTCCCTTCCTCTCACTCATATGAGGAAAACTGTGTTCTATCATGATTGACAGGCGTTTTCTTAGAAATTCAAAAAGGCAGCACCTTTTTAAAAAAATATATCTACCTAAGCTTTCCCCCAATTGTACTTGCATTACACAGTAATAATTAATCTAATCTACCTGTAGGCAAACCCGCAATTAAAACAAAAAACAAAAAAAACCCTCAGTGTGCTTTTGTGCCAAAGCAAGGACAGAATAACAGCAATCTTAACCCTGAAGCCTGTGATATTTGTGTCAAAGGAACAGCCTGTCTGCTCTGCATGGTTAAAGAAGCCTGGTTTATCAGGTAGCATTCCACATGATTCCACAAGGCGTTAGGTCACGTGGTTAACTGCTGGGGTGGGGGGTGGGGGACAAAAAAAGAAAAAATTGTAATTTAAGAAATATATTCAGTTTAAAAATTCAAGAAACAAATTTAGAGAGAAAGGTAAATATTATTTTTATATGTGATTAATACAATTTGGAAAATAGGAAAAGGAAAAATACACTTTGTATTGTCTTCTTTTTGCTTCTACTCTATTTCAAACACATGGCGTTCTTTTGTTTTTTACAAAACTATAATTCGATTTTACATAGTTTTAGATCTAGCTTTGTCCTATACAGTCATACAGGATTTTACAGAAATAAGTCAGGAGTCAGGTGATAATACACTAGAGTAGTATGGTGGGTGAAGAATACAGAAGGTGTAATGCTTAACTATTTAGGCATTTTCAAAGAATTAGACTTGGTTATTAATAATAGGGAGTGAAGAAATGGTTGAATTAAAAATGGTTTTAAGTCTGCTTGGATGACTTGAGTGACATTAGCAGAGATGCAAATCAGTGTTAGGTCTCAGCTTCTAGATTAAAATGTTCCTCTTAATACAGGGGTTACACTCTAGGAAAGTTAGTATTTGGTATAGGAGAAAAAACATAGGCTTCAGAATTGGACAAAAATAAAAATAGGTTTCAACCCTGACTATGCCACTAACTCACTGTGTGATCTTGCCCAAGTGGCTTGATTCCTCTGAGCCTCATTTATGTATAAAAATGTATAAAATGAGAACTTAATAAGACATTATTACCTCTTTTCAGGAAAGGGTTTAATTATGCCCTGCAGTTGTTTATTATATCATATAAATATTTTGAAAAAATTCTATCAAAATCAGTTAAAAAAAAAGAGAGGGATATTTAACTGGGAAGTTTATTTGTAACACCATTTTCACTGATAATACCAAATAATTGTGATTGAAAAACAACCACAATTTGTTTAAAACTTTAAGGGCTAAGTATGTGCCATGTACACCAACCAAGATAGTGAAATCTGATATGGACTTGGAAGAAAATATGAAATTTATAAATTTCATATTAATTTCAAACAGGAATCAAACTAATTTGTAAAGTCATTTCATGTCATATATAAATACTTCACTACAAATGATGCCCTCTATGGGGAAAAGAACAATTAGATTTTAGATTTTAATAGATATTAACCAATCACTTTCACATTTTGTCAAAAAGGTTAACACTGCAATCCTTACCTAGTTTTTGCAGATGTATTTTTGACGACTTTTCGGAAAGACTGATTTGCAGTGGATCTTGTAGAAAGTGTTCGAGGGGATGCACGAACAAAACCAGATGGTGGATTCTTAGGGATCTTCTTCACCAAATGTGTTACCCATTTTTTTTGTTCATCCTGAGAACATGCTAACAGCAGCATATCTCTTGCTGATGTTACATCATAACTGACTGTTTAAAAAAAAAAAAAAGACACAAAGTCTTACAGGGGCATCTGGGTGGCTCAGTCAACTAAACATCAGACTCTTGATTTCAGTTCAGGTCTTGATCTCATGGTTCGTGAGACTGAACTGTGCACTGGGCTCCATGCTAACAGTGCAGAGTCTGCTTGGGATTCTCTCTCTCTCCTTCTCTCTCTGCCCCTCCCTGGCTTGCGTGCACATGTGCTCTATGTCTCAGAAGAAAGAAATAAACATTTTAAAAAATAGAAAAAATAAAGTCATACAGTAAGTACCTAAAATGGTCCCATTGAATGTATAATTTTGTAAGTTCTTAAAATTTTAAAAGATTTACTATGCTTAAGTTTGGACAATATCTCTCCTTAATTAAGGCTGAAAATTTAAAAAGGAGACATTAATCACAAACTACTAAGAAAGATAAAGCAAAAAAAAAAAAATTAAAAAAAGCAGAAGCGAAACTAATGTATTTGTAGAACTTAAGTTTCTTATCTTAAAATAGCTATCGTCTATATTCTTTTCCTCAAGCTACCCTTGCTAAACTAGAAGACATTTGTTTATGACCCTGCATGTTGGTCCAGGCAGTGAAAACCGAACAAAAAGAAAACAAGCAGGAGGCAAAAATTCAAGGAGAAATAATATAGTGGAACTCACCTATAGCTCTTCTCTCCAATTTAGAGTAAGTTCTTAAAGGTAAGTTTTTTATAAGGCGGTAATTCTCTTTAAAAACATTATGTTCAAAGCTAGATTTGTAGCTGTGAAATGACAGCTACATGTTGCTCCTCTAGTGTCAAAATACCACTTCTTATAATCTCTTTTCAACTTGGTATAGAAAATGCTATGCTTGAAGAAATTATTTTAATGGGACTTAATTTTCTAATTTGTTATAAACTGTAAAAGTAATTTTTATGCCTTACCTTTACATGGAGAAATTAAGTCCTCTTTCTTATCTAAGTGATCTCTGTGGCACTTAACATGGCATCTTCGACATTCTAGGGCAGGAGGTGGCTTAAAAACATGCCAGAGAGGTTTGGCACAGGCCTCACAGTTGGCGGGAAAGTGGTAGAGTGTCGGAATGAACTCATGGCCTTTGTGGTTTTGAAAATTAGTCTTTTCAGCTTGCTGTACTGGTTCCATCTCTACATCTTTTCTACATTCACCTTCATTTGCATATAGTATCTACATTCAGGAATGGTAAAAGGAAGATTTTAAAGTCTTAATTTGTACACATAAGTTTCAAATTATAAAAAACATTGGTGTTTTGCATACTTCACAAAGTGCATTTAGTCATTAAATAAAAGATTTTCTAAAATTAGAATTTAAGGTTTTCACCTGGAATATTTTAGGAATTTCTTCAGTTTCAGCTCTGTAAACATCTCCTTGGGTTACAGGTCGAACATGAAACAATTTACTAAGATGAAAATAAACAGGACATAAACTATTAAACTCATTTACAGTAAAAGACAAATGAACATTTCATTGAAGAGGACAAACAGGTGGCAAATAAGCACATGAAATGATGTTCAACATCATTAGTCATTAGAGAAATGCAAATTAAAATCACCGTAGGCATCACTGTACACCTATCAGACTTTAAAAAGTAAAAACAGTAATAACACCAAATGCTAACGAAGATGCAGAGAAACTAGATCACTCATATAATTGTGGTAGAAATGTAAAAACTGCAGAGCCACTTTGAAAAACAGCATGGCTGTTTCTTACAAAATGAAACAAACATATGCTTAACATATGACCCAGCAACTGAATTCCTGGGCCTTTATTCCATAGAAATGAACATTTATATTTATAAAAAAACTTGTATATGAATGTTCATATATAGCCCAAAGCTGAAAACAGCCCAAATGAATGGTTAAACACTGGTACATTCATACCATGGAATACTACTCAACAATAAAGAGAAACAAATGGTAACTTGAATGAATCTCAAGAGAATTATGCTGAATGAAAAGAGACAATCTCAAAGGTTATAAACTATTTGATTCCACCTATATGACCATGCTTAAAAACACAAAATTATGGAGATGGAGAACAGGATTACAGATGGGGGCAGAAACGGCACTTGTTATGGCTATAAAAGGGTAGCATGATGGTTCCCTGTGATGGAACTGCTCTGTATTTGGTGGTGATCATATGAATCCATTTATGTGATAAAGGCATAATAAACTGGAAAGAGATAAAACTATCATTATTTGGAGATGATGTGATTGTATTTGTAGAAAACCCCTGTGGAAAACCCAATAAAACTAGTAAATAAACAAGATTAGAGGATTCAAGATGAATATATAAAAATAAATAGTACTGGAATAACCAGATATCCACATGGAAAATATACACGCACATACAAAAGTAACTTTAACTGCAACCTCTTACCAAACACAAAAATAAATTCTGAGATTAATCATAACTTAAGGGGTGGCTGGGTGGCTCAGTCAGTTAAGTGTCTGACTTTGGCTCAGGTCATGATCTTGTAGTTTGTGAGTTCAAGCCCGTGATGTGCTCTCTGCTGACAGCTCGGAGCCTGGAGCCCGCTTCAGATTCTGTGTCTCCCTCTCTCTCTGCACCCTCCCCCTGCCCCCAGCCCCATTCACGTTCTGCGTCTCTCTCTAAAATAAATAAACATTAAAAAAATTTTTTTAAATCAGAACTTAAATGTAAAGCCTAGAAATAGAAAGCTCCTAAAAGAAAACACAGAATACTTTCACAATCTTTGGAGAAGCAAAATTTCTTGGACTACAAAAAGCTATCTTTTAAAAAATTAATAAATTTGTTTCCATTAAAAGACACCATAAAGAAAATGAATAGGCAAGCCACAGATTAGGAAATATTTGCACTGCATGTTTCTGATATAGAACCCATATCCAGAATATATATACAGAACTTTTACAGGGACACCTGGGTGGCTCAGTCAGTTAAGCTTCCAACTTCAGCTTAGGTCATGATCTCGCAGTTCACAAGTTTGAGCCCCATGTCAGGTTCTGGGCTGACAGCTCAGAGCCTGGAGCCTGCTTCAGATTTGTGTCTCCTTCTCTCTCTGCCCCTCCCCTGCTTGTACTCTGTCTCTCTCTCAAAAGTAAATTTAAAAAACATTAAAAAAAAAAAAAGATTTACAAATCTATCTTAAAAAAGTCAAGTAATCCAATTAAAAATGGGCAAAAGACATGGAGATATTTAAGATATACAAATGGCCAATAAACATCTGAAAAAATTTTTGGTATCATTAGTCATGGGGAAAATACAAGTTAAGACAATAATGAGACAGCATTTCATCTTCATTAGAATAGCTAAAATGTTAACTACACTGGTATTAAAATTAAAAACTTAAAAATAATAAAAATAAAATAAAAGAACAGCATAAATCAAAGACTGACAGCACCATATGTGGTGAAAACATGGAACAACTGTAACTCATATACTGCTGGTGAGCATAACACAGTGTAACTATTTCTGGGGACTATTTGGTAGATTTTTAAAAGATTAAACACAGATTTACTCAATACCCAGGATTCCACTAAGTAATTACACATGAAAAATGAAAACATAAATCCACCAAAAGAATGTTCATAACAGTCTTATTTATAACAACCCCAAATTGAAAGCAAGCCAAATGTTCCTCAACAGAAGAATGGATAAACAAATTGAGATATATTAATTTGATGGAATATTATTCAGTAATAAAAGGAATTGCTGAATATATTCAGCAATTGATACACATAGCAAAACACTATGCTGGGTGAAAGATGCCAGGCACAAAAGAATACATATCATATGATTCCATTTATATGAAGTTCTAGAATAGGCAAAACTCAGTAACAGAATTCAGATGTTCTTTTTTTTCCCCCTGAGAAAATGGTATAAGTGGGCTTTCTAGGATGATGGAAATACTTTTTTTTTTTTTTTTTAACGTTTATTTATTTTTGAGACAGAGAGAGACAGAGCATGAACAGGGGAGGGTCAGAGAGAGGGAGACACAGAATCTGAAACAGGCTCCAGGCTCTGAGCTGTCAGCACAGAGCCCGATGTGGGGCTTGAACTCACTGACCGCGAGATCATGACCTGAGCTGAAGTCGGCCGCTTAACCTACTGAGCCACCCAGGTGCCCTGATGGAAATATTCTTTATCTTGTTATGGGTAATGATTACATGGGTGTTTGTAATTGTCAAAAGAACAGAACACTTATGATTTAGGCATTTTATAAAAATTATACTTCAATAAAAAGGTAAGACAACAAACTTTCATCAATCTGAAAGCATTTAACTTAGTTGAAAGATGATGTCTCTAATATTAGTATTTATGTATTATTCCATTTAGGTTGAACACTTAAATTTTTACAACCAATGCTTCTTCAAAGAATTAGGAAATCAAAACAGTATGGTACTGGTACAAAAACAAACACATAGATCAATAGAACAGCATAGAGAGCCCAGAAATAAACCCATATTTTTATGATTAATTAATCTGCAACAAAGAAAGCAAAAATACAAAACAGGAAAATGTCTCTTCAACAAATGGTACTGGGAAAATTACTAGATAGATACATGCAAAAAAATAAAACTGGACTACTTTCTTACACCATACACAAAAATAAACTCAAAATGGATTAAAGACCTACATGTGAGATCTGAAGCCATAAAACTTCTAGAAGAAAACATAAGTGGTAATCTCTTTGATAAGGTCAAAGAATTTTTCTAGATATGTCTCCTTTGGCAAGGGAAACTAAATCAAAATTAAACTATTAGGACTATACCAAAATAAAAAGCTTTTTGCACAGCAAAAAAACCATCAACAGAACAAGCCATCAACCTACTGAGTGGGAGAAGATATTTGCAAATGATGTATGTGATAAGGGGTTAATATAAAAAATATATAAAGAACTTATATAATTCAACACCAAAAAACTCCCAAAGAATCCAATTTAAGAATGGGCAGAGAGGGGCGCCTGGGTGGCGCAGTCGGTTAAGCGTCCGGCTTCAGCCAGGTCACGATCTCGCGGTCCGTGAGTTCGAGCCCCGCGTCGGGCTCTGGGCTGATGGCTCAGAGCCTGGAGCCTGTTTCCGATTCTGTGTCTCCCTCTCTCTCTGCCCCTCGCCCGTTCATGCTCTGTCTCTCTCTGTCCCAAAAATAAATAAACGTTGAAAAAAAAAAATTTTAAAAAAAAAAGAATGGGCAGAGGACACGAATAGACATTTTTCCAAAGAAGACACACAGATGGCCAACAGACACATGAAAAGATGCTCAACATCAGTAACCATCAGGGAAATGCAAATTCAAACAACAATGAGATAACACCTCATACCTGTCAGAATAGCTAGAATTAAAAATATAAGAAACAACAAGTGTTGGCAAGGATAGGAGAAAAAGGAACCCTTGTGCACTGTTGGGAATGCATGCTGGTGCAGCCACTAAGGAAAACAGTACAAAGGTTTTTCAAAAAGTTAAAAATAGAATTACCATATGATCCAGTAATTCCACTACCAGGTATTTATTCAAAGAATATGGAAACACTAATTTGAAGAGATATATACAACCCCTATGTTTATTCCAGCATTATTTATAATAGCCAAGATATGGGTGAATAGAGTATTAGCCATAAAAAAGAATGAAACCTTGCCATTTCCAAAACATAGACGGACCTTGGCCCTAGAGGGTATAATGTTACATGAAATAAGTCAGTCAGGGAAAGATAAATACCCTATTTCACTCGTAAGTGAAATTTAAGAAACAAATGAACAAAGAAAAAAAAAGAGACAAAAAAACAACAGACTCTTAGAGAACAAACTGATGGTTACCAGAGGGGAGGTAGGTGGGGGGTGGGTAAAATAGGTGAAGGGGATTAAGATTACACTTATTGTGATGAGCACTGAGTAAATATGGAATTGTTGGCTCACTATATTGTACACCTGAAACTAATATAACCCTGTATGTTAACTATAATTGAAAAAAGGAAAAAAATGGGAAATAAAATTTCAGAACGCTCTGGTAGCTGCTCAATTCTTTTTACATTCTAGATATAATTGATTTCACAAATGTTTAATTCCAAACGAATGCCAACACTTCATTTTAAGTTTATATTTTTCATGAATAGCACCCACCACATCTCACTTTGAATTTATATTTTGTTGCATGTTTTACCTTTTCTACTACTTGAATGTAAGCTCCTTAAATATGGAACTGTCTTACTCACCTTTGTACAATCTATAGCACTCACGATGATACAAACAGCAGCGCTTAAGAAATGGTTTTAGAACGAATACAAGGAAAAATCCTAAGCTTATTAAAGGCCTCTGTGATCTACTACTAAAAGCAAAAGATATATTTGTATATCCTTAACAATGAGTGCATAATCATATACAGCACTTTTGGAGATGCTCTCTGAACCTAAAACTAATAAACATTTGAAATAAAAATCTTTAGAATACATTTATCAGCTTTGCAAAATCTTCCCCCTTACATTTTGCTAAAGTTAGATTTAATATGGGGTTCTATTTTTTATTTAAAAAATTTTTTCAAGTTTATTTACTTTGAAAGAGAGAGAGAGTGGGGGAGGGACAGAGAGAGGGGGAGAGAGATAATCCCAAGCAGGCTCCACACTGTCAATGCAGAGCCCGATGTGGGGCTTGAACCCACGAACTGTGAGATCATGATCTGAGCTGAAATCAAGAGTCGGATGCTCAACCAACTGAGCAACCCAGGTGCCCCGAATATGAAGTTTTAAAATTTGTTAGGAAAAGTAGGCAGTATCATTTAAATAACAAAACATAAACTAAATTGTATGTCTCAAAAAAATTATCATAAATTATCACCCTGATGATTTAAAATTCAACGAAAGGCAACTTACTCTATGTCCAATACCATGGATGGATTGGATTGTTCCTTATCTTGCTCATCGTTATAGAACAAAATTTTTTTGCTGCTTACTACAACATACTGAAATGAGGAAAAAAAGAGGAATATATATAAGAGCAACATTAATGTGGTTTAAAATAAGCACAATACTTGTCATTTATGTCTAAAGTATACTGTATTAATCTAAGATCAATGCTAATAACAGAGCAATTAATACAAGTTGTATGTTTTAAAAGTAAAATATGTAACAGATTATCAATTAGAAAAAACAAGGCATATATACCTGTTTCTTCCAGCCATATCGTTTGATATTTCCTCTGTTTGGTATTGAAAGCCAGCCTTCAATTCTTGACTCTAGGAGCAAAAGAATATATAGTATTCAGCCTTAAGTAGTAGTAAGAGGAAAGCTATTACAAGTTGTTTGATGGCATGCAGCAACAGGCATTTGAACACAGCTAAATGAATAAGTGCTACAATTTGCTCTTCCATGCTTCAATCACACAAATCAACTGTAATGGCCATACAAATATTGCAGAAAAAAATTCCAAGCCACTTTTCCCATAAAATTAACATTTAGTACTTAATTATAAAAGTATGAAGTAAAACAATACCCTTTAGAGCCAGGCAAGACTGGAATGGATTGCAGCTTAAATGGGATATGATACAGAAGACTTTAAATATCATTTAACACTTATAACACTATTTAGCAAAATAAAAAATGCAGCAAGTGGAACAAATCAGAGCGATGATTTACACAAGAAAGAGCAAGCAAAAGTACAGAGAGGTGTCCTATTACTCACAGAAGATAAGAATAGAAGATAAATAAATAAGGAATGCAGGCAGAATCAACTAGATACAAAGAATAAGAGACAAGCATTTTATTTGTTTTCTTAGCACAAGATTCTGATAAACTTTTTGGTAAAACACCTATAATAATTTCAATAAAATTGCTAAAATCTGGTTGAGGGGGTACTTAATTCTAGTGTTAAAGTCCAATTGTAATTCTTTTCAAACTAAAGAGGTATAAATAAAGACTTTTAAGTATGTGATACCAGAACTTAATAAATAGCCAAAAAACATAGCATTGAGTTGGTCAGCTATTACTTTAAACAGTTTGTGCATACCAGAAATTCCTTGACTAATACAATCAAGGCATTTAAAAATAAATATTATTACTGTTTAAATATAATTAATGTTTATGAGAAATATCTGAAGGAAAAAGATGATTATTAGAAATCATTATTTTATATCAGGTTAGAGATAAGAATATTTTTTTCTATATCTGTCTTATGATTTGAAACACACACACAAAAAAAGTAAGCAATTTTCAAGTACAATGCTTAAATCATGACCCTAACAGGAATATATAATGCCTTTCCCCACATATAAAAGCTGTAAAACAAATCTAAGTCTTAAAGTAATCGTAACAACAATAGGTAACATTTACCGAACACTTGTTTGACATGTGCTTTCCAAGTAATGTCACATTTAATCTATGTATATTATCCCATGAATGTATACTATATTCCTATGAATATAGGATAGGATAGATTCTACAATCATCCTCCATTTACAAATGAAGAACACCAAAGCTTAGAAGGTAAACTGACTTGTCCAAGGGTATACTCTATCAGTAACTGTCAAAGCTATAGAGTTTACCCTGGCAGGCTAATTTCTGAGCTTGTGTTCCTAGAACACCATGCTATTCTGTCCTTAACTAAAAAGCTTTGCAGTTAATTGAATTGAATATTCTTCTTGTACCAACTTCTTCCATGTACCTGTCTTTTGCTTTTGTTACTCCTCTTCATCTAAATTATAGTTGTTAAGGTGGAGAAAATAATGAGAAAACACAGCTCAAAACAATCCTCTTCTCCCAACTACTCCCAGCAACTTCTTAGTTCATCAATAATTGTTTTGTCTCCTTAAGTAGTTCCTTAGTAAGTTTTGTAAGATCAGGGACCATATCCTGACACTATTTTTATATATTTCAAGGCATCTGACACACAGAGTAGGTATATATTTTGATTATTTTACAGTTCTGCTCCCCCCCCCCCCCCCGAATTAGCCAGTTACAGCTACCCTTTATAAATGATGGTTTAAAAACCAAAGGGCATGGGGCGCCTGGGTGGCGCAGTCGGTTAAGTGTCCGACTTCAGCCAGGTCACGATCTCGCGGTCCGTGAGTTCGAGCCCCGCGTCAGGCTCTGGGCTGATGGCTCAGAGCCTGGAGCCTGTTTCTGATTCTTTGTCTCCCTCTCTCTCTGCCCCTCTCCCGTTCATGCTCTGTCTCTCTCTGTCCCAAAAATAAATAAACGTTGAAAAAAAAAAAAAAAACCAAAGGGCAGTTTTAGGGGCACCTGGGTGGCTCAGTCGGTTAAGTGTCCAACTTCGGCTCAGGTCATGATCTCACATTTCTTGAGTTTGAGCCCGTCAGGCTCACTGCTATCAGCCTATCAGGGCAAAGCCCTCTTTGGATCTTGGGTCCCCCTCTTTCTGCCCCTCCCCTGCTTCCGCTCCCTCAAAAATAAACATTAAAAAAAAAACCCAAAGGGCAGTTTTACATTAAACAACACGCAGAAGGTTGCTAATCACTCACAAATATTCTTACAAAAGCATCAAGTTATTGTTAGGAAAATTTTCCTTCGGTGTGCTCCAAATTGCAGCTCGTTTACTCCTCCAATTTACTACCAGTAATTCCTCACAGAAAATATGTGAAAGCCACCGAAATTTTGACCTTTATACAAAATTGTGTATGCCAAAATACCCCACACTCAAGTTATTTCTCCTATGAGAATATATGCCAAAAATATTTATGCTTTATGACTCTAGGTTTGGATTATCTGCCAGTGTTTTCTTTAATGTATTTTCAATGGATTGTTGTAGGTTATGACTTTATCTGTCATTTCAGTGTTTCTTAAGAAATTTTGTACATCAAAGGCATTTTATGAATTAAATAAGCCCTTTTTTATTTGTTCCCATTTAAATTAAATGAAATTTGGAACTCAAAAAAAGGTGCTGAGGACATGTGAAGGTCTTCATCAATTTATAATAATATATTTTTTTTAGATTTTTTAAATGTGTATTTTTATTATTATTTTTTAATTTAAAAAAAAAGTTTAACGTTTATTTATTTTTGAGACAGGGAGAGACAGAGCATGAACGGGAGAGGGTCAGAGAGAGAGGGAGACACAGAATCTGAAACAGGCTCCAGGCTCTGAGCTGTCAGCACAGAGCCCGATGCGGGGCTCAAACTCACGGACCGCAAGATCATGACCTGAGCCAGAGTCGGACGCTTAACTGACTGAGCCACCCAGGCGCCCCTGTATTTATTTTTAAAACAGACAGAGTGCAAGTGGGGGAGAGGCAGAGAGAGAGGGAGACACAGAATTTGAAGCAGGTTCCAGGCTCTGAGCTATCAGCACAGAGCCGGATGCGGGGCCCAAACCCACAAGCTGTCAGATCATGACCTGAGCCGAAGTTGGGCACTTAACCAACTGAGCCAACCAGGAGACCCACCCAGGTTTTCACCAATTTAAAACAACAGGGTTACAGGAGAGAATTTTAATTTTTCCTTCCAGTGCATTCCCTTCACAAAAGCAGGTGAACTAAGCTCAGGGACAAATTAAAAACTACATACTAGCTTCTCCTCTGTTTACTTACTCATGTCTTACATACAAGTTAACATATTAGTTGTGTGTGTGTGTGTGTGTGTGTGTATACATAAACCTCCTTTAAAACCATGACAACTTGTGACATATGTAGCAATCTGAAAGTAAAATGTTTTAAATTCCATCTTTTCCATCACAAACACAGAAATCAGCTTCTCCAGATTAAAAAATGTTGAGGACTCCTAACTCTACATTATCATCAATAATATGCTACAAAAGTACAAAGTACAAATACAACTTGGCTCCAGGTTTTATGTATTTGTAAAGCAATTTTAACTTATAAATCAATACCCAATACAGCGAATTTAAATATCAAAGTGAACTGCTGAAGACTATCAAAGTCTACTTGCATAAACACATACTGCTTAAGAAATAAAGCTAAGGAACCATTGCCAAATATTTTAATTATATTCAGAAGTGATATAAAAATGAAATTAATGTTCAAGAATTCAGATGCATCATCTCCAAATCATTGATTAGATTTGGGCAAGTTGGAAGTTCTCATATACTTAAATACTTGGAAACACACCAAGAAATCCACCATTTACAGGTTTAAATTTCAAAGACTGAGAGACATAAAGTTAGATGGAAAGAGAATGAGGCAGATAATCCACAAGAGATAATGAATATTAGAATATTGATACCAAGTGTTTTTCCTAGTGCTTCATCTACTTTTACATTCTTTTCAGATTATTAGGTCAACAGTTCCAAAAGAAGGAAAGAGAAAGAATAAGGGAGTTATCACGCTGTCTTTTTGTCACTGAGGCAATAGGAAAATCTTAACTCAAGTGTAATCTTTATATTTACACAGTGTGCTATGCCACAACCTGCTACAGAACCAAAAGGAGGATGAAAACATAAAAGAATTAGAAAAGTAATTTAAGAACTTCAGAAGGTTGTACAACAGATAATTTTTTTTCTAAGCTTTTTAGAATTGGGAAACAGGAGAGATTTTATCTACTTAAGGACAAGTAGAGACTGAGCTCTAGATATACAAGATAATTAAATGAAAATCTTTATATTGAATGATGAAATCTAAAACTAAGTTATATTATCAGTTCATCCACCCAACTACCTATAAACACCCATCTCACTGAACTAAAAAATATGATCCATATTTCAAAAGGCCTTTATTTTAACTTTTGAGTAAATGTATTCCATTCAAAGTTCTTCCTTTTTCAGTCTGTAGTTTAATTTTCTAAAATTAAAAAAATAATAATGTTTATTTATTTTTGAGAGAGGGACAGAGTGCAAATAGGGGAGGGGCAGAGAGCGAGATGGAGACAGAATCTGAAGCAGGCTCCAGGCTGAGTTGTCAGCACAGAGTCCGACGTGGGGCCTTGAACTCAGGAGCCATGAGATGATGACCTAAGCCAAAGTTGGACACTTAACCAACTGAGCTACCCATGCACCCCTCTGCTGACTGATTCTTAAGTGTATTTATAAGGTCAGGATTCTGAAATCTAAATGGATCCCTAACTTAAGTCAGCGAATCAAACCATCTGATCGTCCTCTGAGTTTAGTTTTCCTGAATAAGCCAGAATGGAGGACAAAACTCATCACCTTCCTCCTCTTTAGATGTCCCTCAAACTCATCATTCAATTCAAATTTTTTCTGAATAGTATTTACCAATAGTGGATTGACTGAAATGTTTAACCTAATAAAAAGAAAACCAAGATACACATAATAAGACATCATTATAACCAAAGTTAAAGGGAAAGGGGTGGAATAAAGACAAAAAACCTGGACAGGATATTTAACTTTATCTAAATAGAAAGAATTCCTGGACTCTAAGCTACAATTTCAGTTCAACAATTGAAAGAATGTAGCCAAACACCCCTAAAAGTCATACTGATGATTAAATCTAACTTTTGAAAGCTTTTCAAACAACAGCTGGAGCAAGAGGTTCTTGTTAAATCCAAAGTGATTCTCTGATAAAGGACATGCACCTACAAGATTCTCAAGAGGCAGAAGGTTTCAGAAAACCAAAAATGGGAAAAGCGAAGGAATTCCTTGACCACTATAATAAGAAATTTTACTCCATGCCCTTCTAAGAGATCTGATTCTGGGCTAGAAAACACACAAAAGAAGGAGGGCAGGGATTACATGGTATATAAGTAAGAGTTGAATTCACTTTTCACTTTGAGTCCCACTTTCTTGACCAAGAACAATAATACCATTTTCTAAGTAGTCTATTAAGTTTTTTTATATCAAATTCTCAAAAAACAGTATCTGTTAAAATAGAATCACTATAATATAAAATGTGCTACTTCATAAATATCTAGTAACACATTACACAGGAAATACACAAATTAAAATCAATTTTCAAGTTTATGGCCATGTAAACAAAACTTCCAAAACCTTGAACTAAGAATATGCAGTAGTATGTAGGGGGTACCTGAGTGGCTCAGTTGGTTAAGTGTCTTGACTTCAACTCAGGTCATGATCTCACGGTTCACAGGTTTGAGCCCCGCATCGGGTTCTGTGCTGACAGCTTAGAGCCTGGAACCTGCTTCAGATTCTGTATCTCCCTCTTTCTCCCTGCCCCACCCCTGCTCGCACTCTGCCCCTCCCTCTCTCAAAAATAAACATTAAAAAAAAATGATAAGCAGCAGTATGTCAAGTTTGTGTATATAAACATTTATATCTTTAAAATTTGTAATGCATGTTTTAATATTTATAACCTATTCACTTCTAAACTGAACGTGTATTATGTGTATTGCTTATCTCTGTTAAAAAGACATAAATGTACTATAACTTACCCTACACTAAATCCAAGAATTTTAATTGATTCTCAACTGGGAGAAAAAAAAAAGACATCGGAAAAGTCTGAAATCCTAGATACTCTCACTTTTGCCTTTACTTGACTCTCTGCCCCCTAACTGCATCTCTCAATCCCTTTTATCTATTTCTCTAAATTCAAAACTTAAAGTCTGACCGGAGTTTATCTCTACTACTTTAGAAAGGTCTATATATAGGCTGCTATGGTTCTGATTTCAAGTACAGTTCTTAGTTTTTGCACAGAAATACATAAAAACAAAAAAACCCACAGTACATTAAAGAGCTGCTACTCATGAAAACACATATAATAATTTTCTTTAAATAGTGAGAGGTATAAGCAGCTTCAGCTTTCACCATGCAGTTAGGCTGTTTTGGTTCAAAACCTTTTTCAGATTTCTATTCAGGTAGAGCCTCTCAAATTTATGTTAATAGCCTAAAATTTCTTTTGACTGCTTTTATTCTATAAAATGCAAACATAATCAGACTTTGGCTAACAGAAGCATAAATTTCTTCTTAAGGATCCATGGGAAAAATAAAATGACAAAGAGGTAGAAAGCTAAATGAAAGTAACATACATTAATTTCCATGAATGAAGCAAACCTGAATGAAGTAAAAGAAATGTTCTTACCTGGAAGGTTTCCATCAGTTTCATCAGCACTAGGAAAACTAGCAACACTTGTAGAATCCGAAAGGTCCAAAAGTTTAGCACGCAATTGCTCAATATCACTCTCTTTGCTAGCCAATTGCATCTGAAGCTCATTCCTATGTGTACATTCTTCTACCAATTGCTATTTTTGAAATAAAGAAATCAAAATCAAATTTTCAAATTAAAAATTAAGAATTAATGGAACTATGAAGAATCTAAAACTAATACTAAAAAATTAGTATAAACTTCATGAATGTTTACCACCACAGATTTTGATACAATTGTAAAAAATGCAAGTTCTCTTCCTCATTAATACATTGCTTGGTAAACTCCTTTTCTCCTTGCTTTCAACAAATTTTGTTTGTATTTTTTAAATATAAAGCATCAAAACACAAAAACCAAACACCTGTTAAAACAGTAGGAAATGCTTTTATGGCTTCAAATGAAACAGTTTAAAAAATATGGAAAGCTTCTCAGGATGGTAAAACCATAAATGATAGAGAGTCAGTGCTTGTATCCAAGTCAATCTAGGACCAGAGACCAGTTCTCAATTTTGTGCTATTTACAGGCCAGGAAGTATAAAAAAAAATTAAGTATGATATTTTGATTTCAGAAAAGTGAGTCCTGATTAGAGAAAACAAAAAAATATACAATACTTCAAATCCTCTAACTTAACTGTAGTTAGTATTATACCAGTCATATCTCAATTTTAGTCAAAAACCAAAAAGGCAAAACTTCTTTTTGATTCTCTCAAAGGAGCATCTCTAATCAAGCAAATGCTAATGGGTAAAAATTATCATGGTTAATAAGAAATGGAGTATCTTTCTAGTTTTTCAACATCATGGTTCATATTAGAGTAATAATGATCAAACTGTGGAGAGTATAAACCTGAATATGCATTTTTATGCTAAAAATATCTACAGAAGACCAATAGATAATAGGTATAAACAGACATAACAAATTAAGAAAATAATCCTACACACACACAAACCTTACCGCTTGCATGTCATTCAGTTCCTTCTGATGTTTCACCACCATCTGGTTGAATTTCTCTCTTTCTTGGTTGAGTTCCAGTTGAAGCTTTCGATTTTCCTTTTCTTTCTTTCTCAAATCCTGTGTATTAGCTTTCTTTCTATCAATTTTAAAATCTTTCCGATTCATTATTTCTGCCAACTTGTTAACAGCCTATTCAAATATTAAAGTATTATTAAATAAGGATCTATGTTGGAACCATCTGATTTAAATCTCCACTAAAAATGTATTTTCTTCCTCAAAATCAGGAAGGACTATTTTGTGTGGGAAAATCAGAAGAACCTAATAAAGGTTGGAACATAACTGGTAGCACAAGTAACTACTACTGTTTTATCTCATTGTTCAAATGTAAGAACCAGATTAAGTCTTGTAAAAATTCATTTACTGTTCAATAATTATTCAGCATTATACTGTACGTAGGCACTTTGATAGGTACTAGATATAAAGACAAAAAATAGAGTTATGCCTCAAAGGTATCATAGTCTGATGGAGGAGCCAGACAAGCACGCATTATAGTACAGAGTGGTGAGTTAAAAGAAAAGAGGCTAACAATGGTGCTATGGGAGCAGTACCTAATGAGACCTGGGGAAGTCAGGGGTGGCTTCCTGGTGTACCTGCACATGTGTCCACATATGTTTCTTAAAAAGACAAATAAGAGTTGGATAAGCAAAGAAGAAATAGTATTAAAGAGAAGAGCCAAGGAGATGGCATTATAATCAGATGAAACCACACACAGGCAAAAAGGCCCAAGATAATTTTTTTCCTTGGGACAAGTACGTAAGTAAGGAGACGGTATCTACCAGGCCATACTGAGGCCCTTTTGAATGTAAGAGAGAACAGCTGAGGTTAATCCCTTTTGCCAGAAGGAAAGAACATATTCAAATTGAGAAGTGTTAAAAGCATGTGAAATTAAGCTACATAAACTAAAACATAAGTCATGGTATTTTCTGCAATTATGTTTAAAAGAAACTGAAGATTTTTCCATTAAGACAGAAAAAAAGCCCAACTACCATCATTTCCATGTACATTTAGTCCTATCTAGGATGAGGGGCCCATATACATATTTTAATGGAGTAAATGCTTATTTCATTGAACTCATAATGCATATTGTTATTTTTCTAACAGTAAATCTAACATATTAAAAGAAAAATAAAAGACAGAACTATATTATGAAAAAAGTGAAAAGCTCTTGTAGTATCACCCGTCAAAGAGTACCTCTGCTAAAGTCTCTTTTTTCAATCTGCTGGGTGTGTATCCTTCTAAACTTTTCCTTATGTATATAAGCTGATTATATGGATATTTAAATTAGAAAATGGGATCATGCTATACATTCTGTGCTGCAACTCGCTTTTTAAATTTAATACTATATCATATATCATGGGAAATACAATTTCCCCATGTCATTACACATATGTCTATTTCATTTATTTTTAATGGCTCCTTTGCTCTGTATTGTATGGATATATTATGATTTATCAATACTATGCTGATGGGTGGTTGGGTTATTTTTATTTTTCACCGTTAAAAATAATGTTGTGGGGTGCCTGGGTGGCTCATTAAGAGTCCGACTTCAGCTCAGGTCATGATCTCGTGGTCCTTGAGTTCGAGCCCGTATCGGGCTCTGTGCTGACCGCTCAGAGCCTGGAGCCTGCTTCAGAATCTGTATCTCCCTTTCTCTCTGGACCTCCCCCACTTGCACTTTCTCTCTCTCTCTCTCAAAAATAAACATTACAAAAAAAAATGTTGTTGCTGTAGGGGCGCCTGGGTGGCTCAGTCGGTCCGTCATGGCTCAGAGCCTGGAGCCTGCTTTGGATTCTGTGTCTCGGTCTCTCTGCCCTGCCCCCCACTCACGATCTGTCTCTGTCTCTCAAAAATGAATAAACGTTAAAAAAAATTTTTAAAGTTGTTGCTGTAATTACATTTGTATGTGTTTCTTTTGAGCATTTATGGAGTTATGCATACAGGATAAATTCCTAAGTGTGCAGTTACTGGGTCGAAGAATATGCACATTAAAATATGTTATTCTGTTAATTGTTCTCATAGTTTACTCCCTCAAAAACTACACAAATAAATTTCCCTATGTTCTTGCTAAAGAGGAGTATTATCTCTCTCACTCAAATGTGCCCATTTGTCAAAAAGATACCTCATTATTGGTTTAATTTTTATTTCTTGGTTTATGGTAATGGGTTAGCTTTTTAAAATTCTTTTTTTCTCAAATGTCTCTTATTTTTTTTCATAGAAGATTGTCTTTTTATTTGTAGACCCTCTTTTATTTGTATTTCTCTACATTTGTTGTAAATATTCTTCTTAGTTTGTTTTCTTTCAACTTATGTTGTTTTGGGCTCCACAGACCTGAATTTTTATGTAATAAATGTCAATCCTTTTCTTCATGGTCTATGTTTTGATGTAAAAGTAAGTACAATCCTTCTACTGAAGGATTTTCAACAGGTATTAAATACATTTTTGAAGGATTAATCTAGTTGCAACATGAAAAACTGCTGAGAGGGAGAGTAGATAAGTGGTAAAAAAGCTAATATAATCATTTAATAAAAAGTAAAAAATATTTATTTTACCATAAAAATCAACTGGGGTACACAGTACCTTATGAAGAATTTAAACTACTGTATAAGTTAGTAAAATGACAAGATACCAAGTTTTAGTAAAAATGTGAACTGCATCATTAAATATATAGCAAAATGATACAGTCACCCCTATAGTTTCTTACTTACTCCTAGTTCTTCTCTCTTGGCTTTAGTCAAGTATTTTCTCTTCATTAAGTTTTCCTACTGTCAATTAATTATAGGTCTTCTGTACAATCTAAAACATGTTCTTACTAGTCAAATGACTAGACAAGCTACTTTCTGAACTCAATTAAAATCCAATTTCCTGAAAAAGACTTCTATATTTAATGAAGAAAGAGTATTACATTATTTGTTCCAGTGAAAAGACTGAACATTACAACCTAAGTTTTAAGAAAAAGTTCACAAAGAGCAAATGTTACCTTCTGAATATATGATACTCAAATACAAACATATGGAAAAGGCTGAGAGAGAATGTATACCTGTGTTTTAAGGGTTCTTTCTGTACTGATATTCTTTTCATAGGTAGCCTTAAGATTATTGATCTCTTCCTCTTTCTTCAGTTTATATTCTGTTAGCAAATTATATAAAGTGTTATTATATGACATTAAATTTCTGCATTCAAAATTAATGCTCTTAATTATGCAAATTAGTTTATACATCATAACTTTTAATAACTTCATTAAGATAATTCTTTTTTGTTGTTTTATTGAGGTATAATTGACAAATAAATTTGTAAGATATTTAAGTTATACAATATGATAATTTGATAGATGTAAACATTGTGAAAGGATTCTCCCATCAAGTTCATTAACATATCCATCACCTCACATATTTACCATTTTCTGAGATGAGAACATTTAAGTTCTACTAAGATAATTCTTAAGGCTACAGAAGCTATTTAACATATGAAAACAAATATTTCAAAAACCTAATACACAATATAAATAGCTAAGATTTACCTCTGAACTTGATTAAACATAATTAAAACAAAACAAAACAAAAAACCTTACATACCTTCCTCTGTCCTCCTCATTTTATCAGTTAGCTCTTCATTTTCTTTTCTTAATAATTCAAGATCTTTGGTTAGCATGCTGTTTGTTTCTTCAAGCTTAACAAAACACACAAAGGTTTAAGTTACATTCACTTCAAAAAAAAAATACTTCACATTCTCCATAGATGAGGACAGATAAAACGCTGCTTTATTATGAAAATGCCTGGTTTCCGGTTTAACATATGTGGATATAATTAAATTCAAAATATTTTAAAATAATTGTTAGCTTCTAAAAATTACTTCAGCTGGTGTGTATGTGTGTGTGTTTTTGTGAAAGGAAGAAAAAAATGTAATGGAAGGAGAACGACTACAAACTTGGGAAATTTAAATTTAGGTTTCTAGCTCTGTGATTCTTAGCAAGTCACAATGCTTTTGGGCCTCAATTCCTTCATCTGAATAATGATGATGAAAACGACAATTAAAAACATTTTACTTTCAGTAATGTACTACTTATTCACCATTCTATGTATATTATTTCACTTAATGTTCATAAGAATCTTGTGGAATAGGTATTATTTCTTTTTCTTTTTTTTAAGTAAACCCTATGCCCAATGTGGGGCTTGAACTCACAACCCTGAGATCAAGAGTTGCATGCTCTACTGATTGAGCCAGCCAGGCACCCCAAATATTATTTCTATTTTATAGATGAAGAATCTGAGGCTTAGAGAAGTTAATGCACATTGCCAAGACCATGTAACTTCTTAAAGGCAAAGCTAAGATTTAAACCCAGGACTACCTACACCAGAGCACTTGATGGTAACTTCAAAAGAAGAAAAATCTAACTCCCCCTCCCATTCCCATCATCTATATAGAGAACAGTATAAATTTCAGGAATAGTTAATTATAGTATTGGTTTTCTATAATTAATTTGTAAATATCCATAAAGAATTTCTCATCCCCAAATAGTTTCTCTGAACTTTACAGAATTCTGGCCATAAAACAAGCTGCAATGTATTAAGATAATACAACAAATGAATTTAAGCTAAGCATTTCCTTACATAAAATATATTAAGATCTATAGCCAGAAAGAGAAAAAGTATATTACACTGAAAAAGAATTTCAGTCATTAACAATGGTTTTGGATTATATGAACTATTTTATACAGGAGTACAGACTGACCACTGTGTATAAGTAAAGTCAAAGTAAATACACATGCATACATATTCACCTTACCCTAACACTTTAGGATGTGGCCTATTTTTATTTAATTTTAGTCATAAACCTTACGTGAAAACCACACTTACCCGACTAACAGTGTGATCTTTATCTGTAATCTCCTGTCTATTTCTTGAGGCAGCTTTCTTGCTTTCTTGGGTCAATTCAAAATACTGTTCTTCCAGAAGCCCTCGAGCCAACTGCTCAGACTCAGCTTTTGTTTCTGCTAGATCCAACTGAGTAGTAAGAGTTTCTCTGCAACAGATTTATAAGAGAAATGGATATAAAGAAATTCAGTTATTCTTTCAACTTAATGATTTGCTTAAAAAGACAACTATATTTATTTAAATAATAATAATTCATTGCTTAAATAAAATCCATTACTTGAATCCACTTGAAAAGTTCTATATAAATAATATATTTAACCTCTCAGACTCTGAATAAATGTAAATAACTCTTTAATTTTGTATCTGCTATTGTGCTTAATTAAGAAAAGTTAATAAAGCAATGGCAAGTAGTCTACTTTTGAAAAGGAAACTGTTGTGGATTAGAATGGAAGGTAGCATGGCACAGGAGAAAAATAATAGTCTTGTAAACCAGGAGGCCAGACCTAGACCCTTATCCCTATTCTATCACTAACTAATTGGGCAAGGACCCTGGGCAAATTTCTTACATTTCCTAGAGCTCAATTTAATCAAATCTGTAAAATGAGAGTTAAGCTAAATGATTTTTGAGGTCCCTTCCAGTTCGGAAATTTAATGAGATTATGAAGACTTATAAACAGATATTTAAACCACTATAAACTGTTCCAAGAATGCTCCTTGGGAATAACACTTTAAAGCTTTTTTGGAATTGACATTCAGACCAGGACCAAATCATTCCAGTTTGCTTGCTCTTCCTGAAGAAGCTATCTTGGTCATAAATGTACCCCCCTATATACAGTAGGTGCTCAAAAAATGTTTGCTAAGTGAATAAATGACTTCCACCTATTTTTTACTAAGGGAATAATACAAATGAAATTTTCTGTCTCAAGCCTCTCTCAAGAGGGAGATATATACTAACTACAGAAAAAAAAAAAAATATTCATTCATTTGTCCAAAAAACATTTACCTAAATGGTTACTATGTGCTAAATATGGTTGTACTAAGTAAGACATACAGTAGTAACAAAGTCTCTGCCCTCAGGAAGCATACATTAGTGGGGTGAAAATGGTCAATTTAAAAAATGAGCAAGTAATATACAGCATCCATAGAGAACACAATAAAATGAAAAAGGTAGAAGAAGCTGTGAATGTGGTATTTTATATAGGGTGATCAAGGAGGTCTCTCTGCTAAGAAGACATGTGAGAAGAAATATGAAGGAAGGGAATGAGCTACGCGTATCTCAAAAGTGGTAAGGTGGAAGAAACATCTGATGAGAAATGCCCTAAGTTTGGTCTGAAAGAAGTTAGTGTACGTGAAGTGGGAGATCGAGGAAAGTTGTGAGAAATGTATTAAAAGAAGTTGGAAGAGATAAAGATCTTATAAGGCTTTCTAAAACAGTATACAGAACTTTGGTTTTACTCTGAATATTCTGTTTTTAAAAGATCATTCTGGGGGCGCCTGGGTGGCGCAGTCGGTTGAGCGTCCGACTTCAGCCAGGTCACGATCTCGCGGTCCGGGAGTTTGAGCCCCGCGTCGGGCTCTGGGCTGATGGCTCAGAGCCTGGAGCCTGTTTCCGATTCTGTGTCTCCCTCTCTCTCTGCCCCTCCCCCGTTCATGCTCTGTCTCTCTCTGTCCCAAAAATAAAATAAACGTTGAAAAAAAAAAAAAAAGATCATTCTGGGGGCGCCTGAGTGGCTCAGTCGGTTAAGCGGCTGACTTCGGCTCAGGTCATGATCTCATGGTCTGTGAGTTCGAGACCCGTGTCAGGCTCTGTGCTGACATCTCAGAGCCTGGAGCCTGTTTCAGATTCTGTGTCTCCCTCTCTCTGACCCTCCCCCGTTCATGCTCTGTCTCTCTCTGTGTCAAAAATAAATAAACGTTAAAAAAAAAAAATTAAAAAAAAAAAGATCATTCTGGTTGCTGTACTAAGATCAGACTGTAGGGGGACAATGGCAGAAGTAGGGATATTAGTTAGGAGGCTACTGAAATTATCAAGATTGGAGATGGTCTGGATCAGGCTGGTAAATGGTACAAGTCATGAGAAATGATCAGATTCTGAATATGATTTCAAATTACGGCTAGGAAGACTTATTAATGGATTGCATGTAGAGTATAAGAAGAAAAAAGAGTCTAGAATAACTTCCAAGTTTTTTATTTAAACAACGGGAAATAATAGGATTGCTAATACCAAAATGGGGAAAACAGGGAGCAGCAGGTTGGCAGAGTAAAGGAATCAAGAATTTTTTCTGGACATGTTACAAATGAAATGCTTATTAAACACTCAAGTGGAGATGTCAAATAGATGGCTGGACATACAAGTCTGGAATTCAGGGGAGAATGTGCTTACACGCTGATGCTATTTAAAGCCAAGAGACTGGATGAAAACAAGGAGGGAGTGATCCCTTGGGCCCTCCAAACTTTAAAGGTCTCAGAGAGGGGAAGGGACAAAGGAGCAAAGGAGGTTAAGAGTAGCCAGTTCAATAACAAAAATACCATGTGGTGGTCCGAGAAGCCAAATGAAGAAATTTCATAGAGAGAGTAATGGACTATGTCAACTGCTACTGTTAAATAAGATAAAGACTGAGAATGGACAATTGTCTTTAACTATTAGGAAGTCATCAGTAACCTTGAGAAGGGTTATTTTGATAGAGCGATGAATGCAAAAGTTTGACTGGAATGAGCTGGAGAGAAAGGGAGAAGAGAACCTTAAGATAAATGGTATGTCACTTTTCTTTCTTTTCTCTTTTTTAAAGTTTTATTTATTTATTTTGAGAGACAGAGAGAGAGAGAAAGCATGAGCAGGGAAGGGGCAGAAAGAGGTAGAGAGAACCCCAAGCAGGCTCTGCACTATGATTTCTGTGAGATCATGACCTGAGGTGAAATCAAGAATCCAATGCTTAACTGACTGAGCTACCCAGGTGCCCAGGCATGTAACTTTTTAAAAAAATTTATCTATTTATTTAACTTAAAAAATATTTATTTTTGAGAGAGAGAGAGAGAGAGAGAGAGAGAGAGAGGTAGAGAGAGAGGAGGACAGAGGATCTGAAGTAGGCTCTGTGCTGACAGGAGACAGCCCCATGCAGGGCTCAAATTCACAAACGGTGAGATCATGACCTCAGCCAAAGTCGGATGCTCAACCGACTGAGTCACCCAGGCGCCCCCAGTATGTCACTTTTCAAATAAGTTTGCCACAAAAGGAAGCAGAAAAATATGATGGCAGGTGGAAGTGAATATGTGCTCAAAAGATGGTTATTTTTTACAGAGACGTTTACCTGTATGCAATAAAAATGACTACAGAAAGGAAAAAATTGATGTAGAAAAGGTGAAGATTACTGGAGTCATATTCTTAAGTAGGCAGAAAGGGATGGGATCAAGGGGCTGCCTTAGTTAAAAGCACATTTTGTCCATTTACATCAATCAGAAGGAAGGCAGGGTTTATTGGTACAGATGCAGACAGATTAGTAGGTTGTGAGGGTAGAAGACAGTAGAAGTTCTCTGACTTCCAGGAAGCAAGACCATTTGTTGAGTGTGAGGATGAGGACAGGTTGTTGAAGATCTAGTAGGAAGGAGAAGATATGAAATACGTGTCTCAAAGCATAGGGAAGTTAGTATGTTAGGAAAAGACGCGAAGTACTGCCAATGGTAAGTCTATGATCCTAGCGGTGGTTCTGCACTATTATACACAGGGCTTCACACTGGTAACACTCTTATCTGAGCTTACTGCTTTGTATTAAATTCAAATAAAAGTAAGTTATAATTTAAAATTCCAGGGGCGCCTGGGTGGCGCAGTCGGTTAAGCGTCCGACTTCAGCCAGGTCACGATCTCGCGGTCCGTGAGTTCGAGCCCCGCGTCGTGCTCTGGGCTGATGGCTCAGAGCCTGGAGCCTGTTTCCGATTCTGTGTCTCCCTCTCTCTCTGCCCCTCGCCCGTTCATGCTCTTTCTCTGTCCCAAAAATAAATAAACGTTGAAAAAAAAAAAAATTTAAAATTCCAGAAAACCTATTTATCCCAAATTATAGTCCTATCCCTGGCTATGCAACTGTGCAAGAGAAAGCAAGAAACAATGAGATGGTTCAGGGTAAAATTGTCCACAACTACAACCATCCAGACTTCCTTCACAGCTCTCCATAATGAAAGACCTGTCTTTACTGACTCCTAGGGCCAATCTATCACCTTTATTCTCCCGTTTCCTTAATGAAATCAATTAACAACTTCTTTTTCTTCTAGGATGTAAGATTATAAGCAGGGACTTTGTTCTTGTTCACTGCTGTATTCCAAATGCCCAGAAAAGTCTCTGGCCCATAAAAAAGTGATTAGAAATTTTGTTTCAATCAATGGATAGAGGTGTAACTTTTCTCATTCTGATTTCCTTTCCATGTCTTTAAATATGCTCAAATTTCTACTATCTTTAAAAAGAGATGGCTCTCTTTCACCTTCTCCTCCAGTTAGGGCTCCATCTCTATCTCCTTGCCTTAACACCCACGTTTCTTAAATTAAAAAAAAAAAATTATTTATTTTAAGAGAGAAGGAGAGAGAGTGTGTGTGCGCATGTGAGCAGGGGACGGGGAGAGAGAGGAGAAAGAGAATCCAAAGCAGGCTCCACATTCTCAGCTCAGAGCCTCACATGGGGCTCAAACCCACAAACTGTGAGATCATGACCTGAGCCAAAATCACGAGTCGGATGCTCAACTGACTGAGCCACCCAAGCACATCGAATTTTTAAATTTAACAAATATTTACTGACCATCTACAATGTTCTGGGTACAATTCCAGGTGCTACACATATAGCAGTGAATCAGAGTTAAGGACAAAACATTTGAAAATTCCTTTCTTCACTGCTAAATTCTAGCAGAAAGATAAAAACAGCAAGTAAAATAAAGTAAGTAAGCAAATTCTATAATATACTGGGAAGGGATAAGTACTGCAGAGAAAAATAAAACAGGGAAGGAAGTACTGAAGGTAGCAAGGTAATGGGGTGGGGGATGTTTGCAATTTCAAGGATTATTTAGGGAAGGCCTCTCTGAGATGACAGTCAGACCTAGACCCAGAGAGGGTGAAGAGGCAGGCTGTGTGGATATTCAGAGAAAATGTTCCAGGTGGAGGGGAATGCAA